AAGATGGCGTCTTAAAATGGCGCCCCAGACAACGAAATTCAATCTCCGCTTTCTCCAAAACCCGCAAACAGTGGACTCTTATCTTTTGGAATTGATCATAATAATGTTTTATCTACCAGCTGGCTGTAAACAAAGGCAACTTTATATTTTACGACTCACCCAATTGTACTACCTTAAATCGGTAATTAGATTCGGCGCATGTAAAATGGTAGTATCGAAAACGAAGACCCCTAAAACGAAGACCGAAGACCGAAGACCCCCACTCGAAAACGAAGACCCCCACTCGAAAACGAAGACCCCCACTCGAAAACGAAGACCCCCACTCGAAAACGAAGACCTACTCGAAAACGAAGACCCACTCGAAAACGAAGACCCCCACTCGAAAACGAAGACCCACTCGAAAACGAAGACCTACTCGAAAACGAAGACCCACTCGAAAACGAAGGAAAAAAATTACGACTTCTTTTGACCGCTTTGCTACGCAATGTTTTGGGGAATATTGTTGACCAAGGGTTGCGTGACAAAATATTAATGACAGGAAATGAACAATAAGCAGACTGAGAACGTCTTGTCCTGGTTTCGTTGAAATCCTACAAATATGTGAAAGCGAAACTGTACTTTGCGATACGAAACGAAACGAAACTGTACTTTTCGAAACGAAACGAAACCAAACTGTACTTTGCGAAATGAAACGAAACCGCGACGAAACCGACTATTATATATAAAACAAAACACTAAACAAAATAATAATTAACTAAACAAGACTTGTGCCGCTATTTACGAGTTTTTGTGCGATTTTGCCATTCCCGTCGATGGCAAAACGGCTTTACAAAAAAATCGAGACTTACAGAACAGAACCACTCAAAAAACAAGACTGCGAGACCCATGAAATTTTTGGGCCTGATCACGCGTCACGCAAAAACCCTTTGCCCTCCACCCAGGGTAATACGAGACGCGTGTGAAAGAGGTCACAGAGGTCACAGAGGTCAGTGCGACCATGTGCTAACCACAGCGGTCATGTTTTTATGTCATTAGCTTATTTGTGCCCAATTTGAAGTTTCATGGCGGGTTTCAAGATATACAGAGCAAATCCTTTTATAACCGTGCGTGGTGCATTTCTTGTGTAAAATACGAAAGGTAACTTTTTTCTCGTGAAACCTGGTCAGTTATTTTTTCTGTGATTTCGTAGCAGGTAACTAGGCTGCTAACATCTGGTACATTTTTTGCACCTGATAGACTTTTTGTTTACACTGAAATCCTGTACAGGTTTTGGATCGCAAAGTGTAAACAGTGATTGTCGGTGTGAATATCCATTAAGAAGGGCGTGTGGATCCAAATTTTGTTCAAACTGTACTGGTACAGTTGGGATCTGCGCAAGTCATTGTATCGGTACCATGTAAATATAGCCTTGTGCAGATTCTAGACTTACTGAAATTAAATCATGAGGAGAGTTATATTAAAAACAAACTCGAACTCGTAGGAAGGAATTATCAGAACTCTAAACTGAGGGCGATGGTCATTAACGTTTCTGTTGTACATCTTAGTGAAATGTAATAGTTGTTCATGTAGTATTGCTCCTTGGTGCCATCATGTAATTGTCTTGGTTGGTGTGGTATCTGGCAATCAGAACAATGAACAATGAACAAAACAGTTGTAAACAAAGCTCTTGGTGTAGTGTAAAGCTCAACATCATCTCGTCAGTGTTCAGCTGAGTTTTCGCTCTTATCTAGTTTTACTTGTGTTAACTGGTTACTGATATCTACTTGTTTTTCTTGTTTTGGTTAATAAAACGTTACTGTTATTGTCGTCATCATCAGTTAGCCTGCGTAGCAGTCGATTCCTTTCCGAGAGGGTGGGAGGCGCGCGAAGGCGAAAAGAGCGAAAAAAAAAGTTGTAGTGGGGAGGGGTGAGGCGTGAAAAGTGTCATTATTGTGTCACGCAATATCAAACACCAAACTCATCCGTGGCCCAAAACATTGCATAATTTGTTTTTTTTCGTTTTCGAGTAGGTCTTCGTTTTCGAGTGGGTCTTCGTTTTCGAGTGGGTCTTCGTTTTCGAGTAGGTCTTCGTTTTCGAGTGGGGGTCTTCGTTTTCGAGTGGGGGTCTTCGTTTTCGAGTGGGGGTCTTCGTTTTCGAGTGGGTCTTCGTTTTCGAGTGGGGGTCTTCGTTTTCGAGTGGGGGTCTTCGTTTTCGAGTGGGGGTCTTCGGTCTTCGGTCTTCGTTTTAGGGGTCTTCGTTTTCGATACTACCCATGTAAAATACCAGGCCTGAGACCGATAGACCAATTTCGATATATTAAAATTCTAACTTGGCTTCCGAGGCTTAGGGAAAATTGAAAGAAATCACATCGAGGTTGAGGATGAATAAATAATTTATTTTGTTTTATTCCCCTAAGCCTCGGAGCCAAATTAGAATTTTAATATATCGAAATTGGCCTATTACTAGGCTGTTCCGCAGATACGGATCATTTTGATTCAGGCAGATTAACAGAAAAGTTTTAAGTGTCAAAAACGACCCTTCATTAAAATTACCATGAAAAAGACCAAAATTAAAACCGTCTAACAGCACCCGATATGAATATTCAATATACACACCTGGCAAGTGGTAATAGCTCATTAATAATATGCAGCCGGTATTGTCAAGTCTCGGGGGGGCACTCCCTTAAATAAGCTATATAGGTATGTGCGGCCCCAAAGAGTAGGGTTTTAGCCCGGTTTTTGAGCCGTTTGGGTCTGAAATAGGGTATAGAATTTGATCATTTGGGTCTGAGATAGCGTATGTTTTGTGCACTCTGGCCTGGAATTTGGTTTGGCTTTTAGACGAAACTATTTTTTGCCATTAAACATCGGGGAATTTGAAGCCCTTCTCAAATGTTTACGCAAACGGAACCCATTCCTGGGTACCTGAAGTCATGTATTAGACACGTGTACTAATTTTGCAGGTCTGAAATAGGGTATCGATTGCTCGGTCAGGTCTGAAATAGGGTAAGGAGAATCACATATTTTGGTCTGAAGTAGGGTAAGGGTTTCAAGAAGCTGGCCGCACACTTCCACCAAAGATGTCAAGGAGAAGAAGAGAGGGAGAAGCCGGGTAAAATTGGCCTGGAAGAGACGAAAAAGTATGCATACCAAAACTGCAGACAAACAAAACAGAACAGTTAAGAAGACAGCTGAATATTAAATTAAACAATGAAATTTTGCAACAAGTTGAAAACACTAAATTTTTGGGTATTATAATTGACCAACATTTAACTTGGAAGAACCATATTGATTCTATTACAAAGAAAATGTTAAAAATTTCAGGTATCCTCTGTAGAATTCGCTTTTATATCAGTCAATCACTCTTGAAACTATTATATAATAGCTTAATTTATCCATGCCTCCATTATGGCAATATAGTATGGGCAAATAACTATCCTACAAGGCTGGCAAAAGTATTCCAATTACAAAAGAAGGTATTAAGAATTATAACGTTTTCTACATACACTGCACCATCTCTCCCACTTTTTATGAAGTTAAACCTATTAAATATCCATCAAATAAATGATCTCTTAATAGGTACTTTCAGCTATAGTCTTCACAAAAAGCTCTACCGCCTTATTTCAATGATTTCTGCACAAATAATAGCCAAATTCATGACCATAATACTAGGAACTCAAAAAAGCTACACAAATTTTTTAACAGAACAAATTATAGAATCTACTCGACTAGAAATAAGATAATTGACATTTTGGAACAGTATTCCTGAATCTATTAGGGGTTCTTTATCAGTGTTTACTTTTAAAAGTAGGATGAAGCGGTTTCTCCTATTAAGATGACATATCAAATCTGCATGTTGATTACTCTCATTTTCCTTTAACTTTAACTAAAACTACATAGTCATACTAGAATTAGGTATTTTGTTTGTTTGTCTTATTCATGTTTACTATATATATTAGCTTATTGCGCCAAATATCTGATACCAATTATTTCAGTAACATAAAATTTAAGATAATCTAAAGGGGGACTACCTTGTAAAAGCCCGTTAGGGTTTCTTTAGTCCTCCTCCCAAATGTTTAAAAAAAATCTCCAATACTGTATAGTCCATCACTTTATTATGGGAAATAAACATTCATTCATTCATTCAACTGAATTAAGCCTAGACATCATCAGAAAATTGCCACTGAGGTGGAGAAACGAATAAAGATATTACGATTTGAAGATCTCGCGGCAAACCCTTCTAAACTCCTTCCAGACTTACTGGAGTTTGCTGGGTTACCCATGGACGAAGCTGCGAGTAACTGGCTTGATTTAGCGTCGCATAAGCCGAAGACAGAGAGCGAACAAAAGGCTGCAAATTAAATGGAGACAAGATTCATCTCAAAGGGCAAATGGTTGGAGATGGAAAGCTATACCAAATGAAATCAGCATCATTGAACAAAGCTGTAGCCATGTCATGAAAGTTTTGGGGTATAAGCCATTGGGTCATTCGTATGAGATGCAGAGAAATCTAAGTGTTCGTCTCCTTGACGACGACTTCGAAGCGCTTGGATGGATTAATTAATGCGAGTCAGGCTATGTAAAAGGATGGCACCTCCAACAGGTGCAAAATGCCAATTTAGGACTCTTGCAGTCAAGCAATCGGTAATCTAAACGTGCTCAGTCAAACTCTCACGAAACTAAAATACCGGACGGGTATGCCATTAACCATGGCCATTAACAAAACATTAAGATGTCAATTGTGAGGCAAGATCCCATACTTCATTATACACCGAACAATAGAGAGTAACCCTGAATGTCGCGCTTTGTTCAACTTAATCCTTACAATTGTGCTTGCAATTTAAGCAATTGCAAAGAAGCCTGAAAACATCATTCTGGATCTGGTTGTTCAAAGGATGGATAGCGCTATCCATTGGATAAATCACTATCCAACGGATAGCGTAGTTTGTTTTCAGTTGTTATTAAACACTTATCCACTGGATAGCGATTTATTCGCTGGATAGCGTTATCCATCCTTTGAACAACTTTAACGGGATTTTAAAAACCCAGGACCTCTACGTTACGGGTGCAATGCTCTACCAACTGAGCTAGGAAGCCACACATTGGGAGCAAGGTCAATTGTGAGTTCATATGTTCCCGTGAAAGTGATAAAATGATGATTATCATACATATGGTTTGGAGTGTAAAGTGAAGAAATGATCTTTTGCTGTAACCAATACGGTATGGATCAGTATGGTCATGCAAATAAAGCTATTTGTTGTATTTTTGGTAGACTTTTTTCCTTAGACTGCAAAACAGTCGTATTTTTGCGTTGGTCTGTCAAACATATGCGCGCGGTCTTTGAACGAAAGGCCTGGAGCGAGTGTGAAAACGGCACGCCCTAACAGGCCCTACGGGCGTGTGAGGCTCGCGCGCTTCGCACGCGAGGATCCACGCTTTCAGCGCTTCGCGCGCCTTGCGACCAGCGATTTAGAGAAAAAACGACTGTTTTGCAGTCTATTTTTCCTAGTCTCTGCCGTTAGTGGGGAGGAGTGCGTGACGACCCAAATCACGGCTGCGTAGGAGACTATAAAGTGAAAGTGAATACTCTCTGTATATTTTTTACTTGAACAGCTTCAAAGTGATACGGTAATGAGTTATTCAACCGTGAAAGAAATATGCAATAGTTATGATCAGTTATTTACCTAACTGGTTCAGTGAATGTTGATGAATACAGTGTACCTCGACTTTATTATTCTCGCCACGGTTAGAGTACAATCTGTTCATAATGCACCAGTCATTTGAAACACCCCCCCCCCCCCCCCCCCCCCGAGAAGTTAAAGTGTCGCGAAATACAGTTAATTCCCGATAACCCGAACCTCCCGCTATAAACTCAGAAGTAAATTCTTTTTCCCTTCCTTCAGGTCATTTTCTTACTAATTTTACCCTCGATAACTCGAACGTTTTTTCTATTTCCCTGAAGGTTCGAGTAATCGGGAGTCAACTGTATGGCCACTCAAATTCGCGGTTCCCGCCACGTTGAGAATCCCACTTCCGGCCGCCCTCTCTTTTCTCCCACCCCCTTTACTCCCGGGTTCCTGCCCCCCCCCCCCCCCCCCCCCTCCCCCCTCCCTTAACGAGGGTCGTTACTTTCGGAACTTGACGATATTAAATCAAGACACTGCTGATTACTGACAGGCCAAGATTCAAATTCGTCCATACCCTATGATCAGGCGTCCTTTTCCCTAAGAAAAACGAGGGAAAGAATACGATAGCAAAGAAACGGAAGCCGGGTGAGAAAAAAACCCTCTCAAAAGAGGAGGGCCTGATCGCAGGTTAAATTTATTACTGCACCAGTAAGTACTGGCAGAAAACTTACAGGAGCTACCTCAAGGTTTGTGTATCTTGAAAATTTTACATTTTTCAAACTCGTCGTTTACAATCCGTCTTAATCTTCTCCATCCTTAACCATCCTTGTTCCGGATTGGTTTCTTATTACCTCTTTGGTGTTTTTTTCTACGTTAATAAACTATTCTTTTAGGTTTCCTTCAATTTGAAGGTAACTTCGCATATCGTTAACACGTGACATAGCTCCTTTACAACTTCTCGGACTAGAGTTCAATGCTTAATGTTAATCCTTGAAATTCCTTCATTTCTTTTCCTCACTCGCTTTAGACTTGTACAGTGGGCACCACATGGTTAAACAGTCTCCAGAACTGATGAGATTTCTCTCATTTGACCGGCGAATTTCTAAAGTCGAAAAAGCAAAGAACTGTTAGCGATCAATAATGTTAATATATAAACTAGCCTGCATAGTAAGCTCTCTGGGAGTGGGGGTAGGCAGAGAAGGAAAGAGAGCTTGCAGGGACGTCTTAGAAAATCTATTATTCTCTTTCTTCTCACATGGAGAAAAAGTGACTTTTCAGACTCTCAAACTCACCTTAAATTCACCAATGGTCATTTCAAAGGACTTTGTACTGAGAGCCCCAGAAGGATCTGTGACCGTTATTAAAGCTGTGATGTAGGGAGAATTTAGACTGCGACAGGAACTGGAACTCACACCAACAGATAGCTTCCATTTCATATCAAGCAACTGACGAGTTCAAAACACAATGTTTAATTATGGTGAAAAGAAAAGAAAGTTCTACCACCCCACTCCCCCTTGTACAGTAGGTGGGCCCACACTGCCGGAGCTTTAGCATGAAGCCGACTAGGAGTACTGTCACTCCCCCTGGATGGGATGCTAGTTCAGATGCTAAGAACACAACACAATGACCCCAGACAGCTCTCAAACCCGGATCACTCAATCCGGAGTTGAATGCACTAAAGTAACCATTAGGCCACCGCATCACCCTTGTTTTTCTATTTTGAATTTCATTTATTTTCACCTTAAAAGGCGGGAAATTTTGGCACCAAAATGTTTAGTTTAGTTTAGTTTAGTTTATTAATTTGCCACATAAAATAGAAAACAAATTACAATAATAATAGAAAAGGAAATTGACTAATACAGGAAGTGGCGAGGGGGCCTATGAAGAAACCATAAGGCTTATAATATTAGGCACCCTTGTTACATTATTTGTTAAAACATTACGTTGGAAACATGGGATGGACATTACATTGGAAACACGTTATACAGGTCTAATATACATGTATAAGCGTAAAAGTTCAGTTGAGTCCAATTTAGCCTCCTACATAGATCTGCGTAGGAGGCTACATGCAGGTGTCCAAATTTAATTTCTTACATTAGCCAGCAATGAAAAATATTGCCGTTCAGCCGTTGATGAAGGCTCAGTCTCCAGCCGTGGGTGTTTTGGTACGCCCGCGATCCTCTGGGAGTGGAGAGGATCGCGGGCGCACCGAAACATCCACGGCTGGAAACTGAGCCTACCGTTCATGGTAACCGTGTTAAATGGCTTGGCCACCCGTTTTTCATCCATTCACTAGTCGTGCATTTGCCGTTCCAATGGATAGCCGTAGTGTACGTTTTCGCATGAGAGGTCACACATTAAAGATTGCTATTTACCTGTCCCACATTGAGAATTTGTGTCAAGTCAGAACTACTTAAAATTTTCCCCTGAAAGACAAAACAGACTATTATTGTATGCAGTATGCAGCCTGTATTAAACCATACTGCACTATTCTCGTAATTATGCCTGGAGAAAAAGATATCCCGGTTTAAATACTCCCGTCACTGTCAGTGCAAAGAAAAAACGTCTATTAAATTATTAATTGATATTAAAAACAAATGGTACCAGTAAAAGGAAATGATGGTAAATGTTAAGAGATAGATTGGTAGCGATATCACTTTAAGCCAGTGTCACAATCTACTCGGAAAACATCTCTACGTTCTCCCAACAGGTCTACAGTAGGTCAACCTATGATCTTCAGCACACCAGTTCGATGCTCTACCCCTGAACTACAGTTGACTCATGGGAGCTAAGGCCACATACCGTAAAAGCTCTATTAAGCCCCCAGGGGGCTTATTTAATTTCAGGCCTCAAGAAGGGGGGGAGGGGGCTTATTAGAGAGGGGGCTTATTTTAAATCATAAATTTTCGAGAAAATTCACAATAATTTTTCAAACTTTGCTATTACACCTCTAACTAAAACAAAACAAGAAATGGGTTGTGTATCACTGTCTTACCAATTTATATTAAAATGAAATGTCATTTACATCAGCCTGACAGAGAGGGGGACCTATTACAAAATATGACTACCAAAGGGGGGGCTTATTAGAGAGGGGGGACTAAATAGAGAGGGGGGGCAAAATAGAGCTTTTATGGTAACTACATGTACATGTAGGTTCAAATGAGAGAAACATCTTGCATACTGCTAGGATTAGTTTTGAAGAGGAGTGACAAATATGTTTAAAATCTCTCTTCAACAAAATACACCATAATCCCACCTGCTCATTCCAAACATGTTTGATAACTGAAAGAGTGACTTCCTTCCAACATAACGAAGATTTCAGTTCTGTAATTAGTTTTTTCAGCGGGCAGCTTGGCCTTTGCTGCAGACCTGTTAAAAAACACAAGTTTTTACATGTAGTTTGCCATGAAATGCAATTTTGAGGCAGTCAGCCACAGTTATGTGAAACATCAACAAACTGGGAAATCATGATCTAGACCAACACCCCACCCCCACCATATTGGTTGCTATAAAAATTCAGAAACTATGTTATTATAAATTTATAGTTTTATATTCATATCATGTACCTGAATATATAGCTAATGGCATTCAGTAGAAGCTTGGCATCATATGATATCCCAGCATTATGAAGACACTACAGAATGAACAATCCCTTGTTAAAATTTAAAAATATAAGATTTTTAAACAGGTAACAGTAGTTCAGGGACAGGGAAGGGGGAGGGCTACTCAGGTATATTAGTGATGGGGAGGTGCGTGGGCCTTTAGGGGGTTTGAAATTTAATAGTGATTTGGGGACTTTTTGGGGGGTTAGACATTTTCTGGCGAATGTTTTTAGGTAGAAAGATTTCAGTTGGTAGTAACTTTTGGGGGGGAAGTTAGTAATAAAGTTTTGTGTCATTTGTTTTCTTGGACAACAGACTTTGACTCTAATGGTGCCTCTCTCCACCTAAGAGTAAAAATGAGTACCAGCGAATTATTGGCCATGGAAAACCTGATAATACACATGTGCTTGTAGTCTGAAGTGTCAGCTGTCTCTTCACCCTAACCCCCCCGAGGGGCCAGGCAAGGGGCCAGCCTGGCCCCTCGGGGGGGGGGGGGGGTTGGTTGGGGCAAGGAGACGGCTGCCACTTCATGTGCTTGGAGGTAACCTGCGATACATCCCCTCTGGAGAAACTGAAGTCGACACCAGTGTTGTAGGTATGCAGACTTCACCTCACTGTGTGTTTATTAAGAACTTGTTACAAGTTGTTACAAGTTGCAATACCTTTTGATACTGTTCTACAGGAAGTAACACAATCTTGTATTGAAGAAATGCTGCTACATCCTGGCACTGCAAGGAGAAGTGCACGGTAAATCACGGCTCAAAATAATGTAACACTAAACAGTAACCTAGGGGTAACTACTACCTGTACACGATAGAAGAAAATTAATGATGGTGTAAACAAAGCTCAGTGAAATGTAATGAAACGG